TTAGGACACTGAGGTGCTGGAGCATGTCCAGAGAAGGGCAATGGAGCTGGGGAGGGGTCTGGAGCCCAAGGCTGCTGGGGAGCGTCTGGGGGCCCTGGAGGTGTTCAGCGTGGAGAAGAGGAGGCTGAGGGGAGCCCTTATTGCTCCCTACAACTGCCTGACAGGAGTGGGGAGCTGGGGGGGTGTGTCGGGCTTTGCTCCCAGGGAACGGGCGATGGGATGAGGGGAAACGGCCTCAAGTTGTGCCAGGGCAGGTTTAGGTTGGACACTGGGAAAAATTCCTTCCCCAAAAGGGCTGTCAAGCACTGCAAGGGGCTGCCCAGGGAAGGGGTCAAGTCCCCATCCCTGGGGGTACTTAAAAGCTGGGCAGACGAGGTGCTTAGGGCCAGGGTTTAGTGGTGGCATGGCAGGGTTAGGGTAACAGTTGGGCTTGGTGAGCTTAAAGGGCTTTCCCAACCAAAATGTTTCTATCATAGACACAAAATGTCCCCAGATTGCGGCTTAAGAGGCTCTCACCATGCCCTCTGGTCACTTAAAGCTCCTCGAGTGCAATGGTGCTGTAGCTGCACTCAGGGATGCCTCAATAATAAAAAGCAAAGTATGGGGATCTGCTTTTTTTCTCAGGAAAAAACAAGAAAATCCTATTTTTTCCTGCTGCCTTGTTAATGTGCGAGTACAACACACTAAATACCTGCCAGGAATCCACCCTGTGGCACTACATCAAAAGAAATTAATTCAAGCTTCCCTTGCTTGCCAGACTTTGAACAACCAAGAACTTGCCACAAGAACTCCCCGTTACACTGGATCCTTTACCAGAATGGTAGGTCATCTGCTCCGCGTAGCTGCTCCACGCTTATCAAGCAAAACCTAACCCTTAATGAGGCTTTGCATGTAGGGCTGAGAGCTTGAATTTATGCAGCCTCTAAACTTTTAATGTGAAAGTTATTTCAAGGGAGAAGTTTTAAGTCAAACATAGATCTGAGCACATACATAGCAGCAATCTTGATAGAACACCGCAACTATCGCTCTGAAAAAAGCAGCAGAAAGCACCACATAATCTACTGAAGTTGCTGCCCGCTGGTACAGGCCTGACTTGCAGATGCATCAGTTACAAGCAACCTATTTACCAACACAGCTAACGTCAGCATCGCAGGACATCCACAGTCCTCCAAGCAACAAATTTTCTCATTGTGCAGAATTTGTAACCCGATAGCTCCTAAAATCCATTTCATTATGTTGCACTTCTGGAGCTCATCTGCATTAATAAAAGAGCCGGCGTGGTCAGGGCTGGAACATCACCTTCCTGCTGCGCCGGCAGGGATGCTCCACAAACAGACCTGCCTGAAAAAGCCAGCACGGCCCCAGCTGAACGCCACCGACACGGGTAAATCACAGTGCAATTCCCATCTGAACGCTTCGTTTCAGGGGTACACAGCAAGGGAAGTAACTGTATTCACCAGGTTCTTTCTGCAGGCACACACAAGGATCAACAGACCAGAGAGCTCGCACAAACACCCCACCGAAGCTCGGCCTGCCTGAGCACTGGCCAGCTGCAGCCCAGCACCACAGATCAAAGCAATGCTCCTCAAGGATCTAATCACTAATAAGCAACCATAGCAAGAAATTCCAGGCGATTATGGTTGTGCTGTTTCATAAATTCCATCATGTAGCAAGATATTTATCCACCTGTGACAATGAAGAGGGCATGAACTCCCTGCTCGTACGCTCTGCAGAGAGACCTTGCCCACGTTCCACAGCCATGCGCCACCCTGGCACTGCTGTCCTTCTGCACAAACATCGCCAGCAATTGGGGACTGAGGACAGACGAGAAACGAGAGAATGCAAGGAAACCTCGATAAGGTATTAAACGCAGCCATGAACTATTTCGTATGTCTCCAAGTCAATGCCTTCATCAGCATCTGCTGAAAACTCCAGTGGGGCCTGGTTGGCAGCAAGGCAGAAAACCAGGTGGGGTTTTGCCATATTAGCTAACACCTGAGCCATCAGTCTGACCCAAAATGACTTGAACCCTTTGCTTAATTTGGGGGGGGACACGAACGACGACACAGGGAAAGCAACGCTGAGCTCAAATCATTTCAGCAGAGAGAATTCTGGTTACAGCTCTCCAAAGCCAACATCCAACATATGGAGGAGGACAGATCTTCTTCCTACTCAAACATGCGCTAACTGAACAGAACCAACACGGACCCACCAAGCGCTAAGTCCATGGGGCTTGTTTGGAAAAATGCTGACCGTTCTCGGAATTGAAAATAGTGCACCAGGGCCACAAAAAAAGACAAAAACGCCTGATGGGAAAGAGCAACTGTTGACAAAGCCAAATTAAACTGCTGACCTATTCAGGGGTATTAGGGGTTTCCTTCCACAAATACCAAATCGCAAAACCTGCAACCTGATTATGAAGTTCATTTTGGAAATACTGCCATGTAGCACCAGAGAGCTCCATTCCCAAATGCAAATGTCTCTGTAGGAGCAAAGAGACTGCCCCACTTGGCCCATTCCATCCCTCGTCTCGTCTTTGACACCAGCCAATGTCAAATATTTCAGAGAAAAGTAAGGAAGTTATACAGCAGACAGCAAAAAAGGATCACTTTGGAGATAGGTGTAAAGCGATAGTTCAGTGCTATTTCCTCTTTAAGACTGTGGACCAGTTAAACATGCAAAGAAGCTGCAAGGGACAAGTTTATATCATTTTCTTTTGAATGAAATCTGTGTCAGGGAGGTTGAATCAGGATTTGCAGAAGAGCCTTAAAGCACCCAAACGCCTCTCCCTGCTGTCCCCTGCTCACCGCTGTGCATCCCCGCGGCAGACAAGCAGCGCCAGCGGCGGCAGCTCTCCTCCCTGCACAGCCCCGTTCCGAGCCAGCCGGGGATGCTGTGGGAAAACAAGGTGCGATTACGCATTTAGAGAATCCATCATGATGTATGGCAATTGGAAAGCCAAATTAACAGCATACGGGCAAACTTAATCTGGCATTTCTGAACTGCTGGGTGCATGATCAGGCAGTTTAAAATATTCTTTCAATATTTGTGTTAAGTTTCTATAACTTCCAAAAGATTGAAAATTGGGGGATCTGCAAATTCCTCCATTGACAACTTTGTATCTCAAGCTGAGGATCCGTATGGCCGTCTCACACATCCTTGCAGGGTGGCTCTGGGAACGTTGGGAGATGGCAGAGCCATGGGACACAGCTGCAGGCCTGCCACTGTGAGGTGGGGCATTCCACCCGGTGGGTTTGAACCCTGTTCGCCGCACATCAAAGCAATATTCAGAGTCAGGGATAAAATGAGGTCAGTTCTGGGATCTGCCAGAGAACATCTTTTCGGGTACAGACCCCCCACCTCTGATGGTGCAGCACGGACCCCTCGGGTCCCTCTCACTCCTTTGCTCACCTTTTGCTCAAGAAGTCCCATGTATTTCCTCTCACCTTAATTGCCACTGGGGCTCAAAGCATCCTTTGACACCATCGGCATGATGAAGGGTAACAACCCTCATCTTGAAGTTAACAGTCAGGGGAATTGCAGCCAAGACGGCTATCAGAAAATGAAAATAATGAATAGTGAAATGCAAATATCAACCTCTGAGCCATTAAGCAGCCCCCATACCAGTCAAAGATGCAAAAGTTTGGAACACACCCACTGGAAACTCGGAAGCTGCACGTAAGTCTGGCTCACGCAGGCTGTGCCCCTGCCCGTTGCCATCTCCGCCTGGGCGCACAGCGCATGCAACGCAGCTGCCGGCCGGGGAGAGGGGGACACAGATCGCAGGCTTTCCAACGCACGCAGCGCATAACAGCGAAGCCACACGGTTCGGCTGCAGAGGAACACAGAAGCAGAAGTATCAAACCTCTTCCTGCGCGTCCTTTCCTAAGTTCTCCTGCGGACGACGCCAACGACGGCGACTGCCACGGAGGGTGCTTGCATCGGGGCTGAATTCCTTATCTTCGCATCCTCACGTTTAAATGATGCCAGGATCAAGTTAAAAGGGCTTCCCCAGCAGAGAGAGACATTGTCCCCCTGCCTCTTTCACCACCTACCAGGCTCTAGCATCCCCTGCAGCCATACCGAAGATACCGCCTGCTTAAAGGCACCCATGCAACATTCCAGTCTGGTCCACTTTGCTGCAGTGTAACGCCAGAAATACTGCAGTGGGCAGGGGACTTCAAGCAATGTAATCTGCGAGGAGGCCCTATGTGACTCCTGGAGCACTGGTTCAGCTCTACGAGAGGTGGGACGTCTCCGTTATGGGCAGAACCTGGGCAACAGCGGAGGCATCGCATCTGCTCCTTCTACACAAGTCAAGGGACCAGAGGCTGGAAAGCAAACGTAGAGTTACCCGGAAGAGCTGGAGATGGACACAGTTCTGTGGTTTAGAAAAACACTGGGTTTTTCACACAATTTTCAAGCACAAAATGTTTATTTTTCTTCTTTTTAATCTATACAATTTCTCGGGGTTTTTAGTGCCACTGACTTTGTCAGTATACAAGGGACGGACTATACAACAGGCAATAGCGACATAAACTGTAAGGTTCAGTGCAAGCCGAAGGAGAAGTGGTGTGAGAACATATTTTCCATGTTTGCTCATGAAGCATACAGACATGAATCTAAAAAACCCAAACAAATTAAAGATACATGTTACAGAGAACAGAAATCTCTTACTACAGTAAGTATTTCGCCCAGGCAGAAGACTCTGCATAATTGTCTATAAAATTCAATTCTAACTGAATTGATGGAATAATATATTCAAAGGGTACAAACAAAATAATTTAGACAGATATAATGCTCGAAGGACAATAGAACTATACAACCCACGGCTTGGCAGCACAAGACGCCTCTGCCCCTCAGCGGACAGTACAAAACGTCATCACAGCAGAGGCAGCACAACGTGCCTTGGGGCGTGACCGCGCGCTTCGTGGCCTGGGCCTGAGCGCACCCCCTTCGCGCCTTCCGGCGACAAGAGACTTACCATCAGCAAACCAGTTTTAGTGGTTACCTTGTGCCTTTAGACCGAGTGGTGCAGATGGAGACTCTACGCACAGTAAAATGGGCAAAAAGCAACTTGCAAACGGGAGAGAGGTGTCCATGCCACCTAGAGTGCAAACTTAATCAGAACTAAAAAAAAAAAAAAGAATACGTATAAACCCCCAAATTTCCAAACAAAAGGTGGTGAGACTCCAAGCCTGAAGTATCAGATATGAAAAAAGAACAGCTTCACATTTTTATTCTGGTTTAGCGTGCGTACTGCGAGCAGGTCAGTGGCAAAACAGCGCTCTTAACCGCGGCGGGCAGACCGAAGCCAGAGCACACCCAAGCGCTGTACTTACACGGTTCTTACAGCGACCCGGAGACGCGTTCTCCTACAGTCAAGGCTTCAGTTACATTTTTTTCACTTATGAAACATGCACAAATTTGCAATTTAACTAAATTATAAAAGCCCAGTAGGGGAAAGAAAATTGTAATCCAATTCGCTGCTGATCCAGAAGAAAACAGCGTTTGCCTGCCTGTTAGTTGCTGTCTGCAACAACTTCACCAAAGACTGGGGAAGAGAACGAATTGCACTGCCCGAAGCTATTACCTGTCCTTATATACAGCTTACTCGGATCACTCTGTAAATGCTCCTATTTTAAAATGTGCACATCACTACTCCTTGTACAAACACAAACAATTTTTTGATCAGCATCTCAAACAAACCTCACCTCACAATTTTTTTTTTTGTTTTTTTTTTTGTTTTCTTTTTAAAGATTCAGAAATGAAAACTCAACCCATGAATTAAAACAAAAGCATTTACAGCAGAATGAAGCTGATGAAGAGCGTTGACTGTAAACTGTCAGTATCTTTGCAAATGAAAAGAACTTCAACTCACCAGCAGTTTGTAAATAAAAGACACCTTCCGAGTAATTTTACATCTCTTTCCAGCTGGAACTGAAAAGCTGAAATTCAAGGCACTGTACTCCTGCAGGGGTTAGTACAATTTTCTAGTCATCAGTTCAAGTACATTGACTTTAAGGATCGCAAGTGTAAAACATCAGAACACAACAGAATAAAGTGTCTTCAGCAATGAAATACCAAGCAAATATTGCCAGAACAAACGCACTACCTCTTGTGAAACTGTTTCACAGTGATTGCTGGATGCGGTGTATGGCTGTGTGTGCTAGCGGGCCTGACCCGGGCCCCCACCTCGTCCAACGCATACGGCATCTACAGACCAAACACTCCACGTGCCCACGCTGAACCCCTTGGCGCGGTGGCGAGGCAACCGGGCTATGTCATCCGCAGGCGGGGGCCTGGCGGCTCGGCAGCGGGGCGCTGCAG